AGGAGTTGTTAAAGGGAAAAAAAATTAATAATAAATTTAATAAAAAAAAAAAAAAAAAAAAAAAAAAAAAAAAAAACAACCCCCCTCCCCAGGTAACAGGTAAACTGCCCCTGAGAAGATTAAGATGTCAAACATGACAGAAAAAGACTTCAAAGCAGCCATTATAAACATGTTTGAAGACCTAAATTAAAACCAACTTTAGAAAGTTAAGGGATACATAATGACAATGTCTCATCAAATAGAGAACATCAATAAGAATACAGAAATTTTTTTAAAAAGAAAAAAACAAGAACCAAATGGAAATTATGGAGTTGAAAATTATAATGACTAAAATTAAAATTCACGAAAGGGGTTCAGCTATAGCTCCAAACTGACAGAAGAAAGAATCAGTGAGCTCAAACATAGATTGTTAAAGATTATACAATTTGAAGAACAGAGAGAAAAAATGAAGAATGAAGAAAATCAATAGAGCCTCAGAGAAATGTAGAACATCATTAAGCACACACACTTATGCACAATTTGAATATCAGAAAGTGAGGAGAGAGAAAAAGGAACATAAAAAATATTGGAAGAAATAATGGCTAATGTTGGGAAATTTTGATAAAATTTCCCAAATCTTATCAAAAGTACTAGTTTACACATCTAAGAATCTCACTAAATGCCAAAGAGGATAACCATGAAGAGATATACACCCAGATACATCAAAGCAAAAATTTTCAAAGATAAAGACAAAGAGAAAATATTGAAAGAATCAAGAAGAAAACAACTCTTCAAGTACAAGGAAACCCAATAGGATTAAGAGCTGGCTTATCATGAGAAACAATGAAGCCAGAAGGCAGTGAAACAACATAATCGAAGTACTAAAAATAAAATAAAACATCTTATTATCTAGCAAACTATCTTTCAAAAATGAAGGTAAAATGAAGACATTTCCTGATAAACATCAACTGAGAGAATTTGTTGTGAGCAGACTTGCCAAACAGGAAATAGTAAAGAACGTTCTCAAGGCTGGAAGCAGGTGACCCCAGACAGTAACCTAATACACACACACAGCACCAATAAGAAAAATTGTGTAATTATAAGAGACTGTAGAAATGCATATTCTTCTCTTCTTTTCTCTCAACTGAGTTAAAAAGCAATAGTGTCATGGCACTTATATTACTTTATTGTTGGGCCTATAATGTATAAAAATGTAATATATTTCCCAATAACAGTACAAAGGAGGTGGGTGGTAGCAAAGTTATACTGGAGTAAGACAATAATGCCAGATGGTAACTCAAATTCAGGGGGAAAAATGAACAGAATCAGAAATGGTAAATACGATGGTTAATATAACTAACTCCATAAATGTGTACTTACTCTCCTTTCTATCTCAGCTTCTTTAAAAGACAAAAATTAAATAAAGTAATAATTATAACATGCATTGTTGAGCTGTACCATACACAGATGTAGTATGTGTAACAATAAACACAGAAAAAGAAAGAAGAGAGAAGAGCTATATAAGAGTAACATTTCTATATCTTACTGTAATTTAGTATAAAGATGAAATATATTCTAATGTGCTAAGATGTATATGGTAAGCACTAGAGCAATCATGAAGAAAATAACAAAAAATTTAGTGAAAAGATAATTAAGGGAATTAAAGTGTTATACTGGAAAATATTCACTTAAAAGAAAGTAGTAGTGGAGGAGTGGAGGAACAAAATAAGTATCGGACATACAAAAACCCAAAAAAACAAAAAGAAAAAGGGCCAATGTAAATCCACCATATAAACCATAATATTAAATGTGAAAATATTAAATGATCCAATCAAAAGGCAGAAATTACCAGACTGGATTAAAAACAAACAAACAAGATCCAATCATATCCTGTCTATAAAAGACACACTTTAGATTCAAAGACACAAATAAGTGGAAAATAAAAGGATGGAAAAGGAAATACACAAACAGCAAACATAAGAAAGCTGGAGTGGCTATGCTAGTATCAGAGAAAATAAATTTTAAAACAAAAAATGACACTAGAGATGAATAGAATTTTTTTATAAATATAAAAGGAACAATTCATCAGAAAGACATAAATATAAAACATATGTAAACCTAACAACAGAGCCTCCAAAGACATAAAACAAAAACCAACAGAACTGAAAGGAATAATAGACAATTCAACAAGTGGTGACTTCAATATCTCACTTTCAGTAACAGACAGAACTAGAGAAAAGATCAACAAAGAAATAAAAGACTTGAACAACACTATAGACCAACTAGACCTAACAGGCATCTATATGTCACTACTTCCA